CATACAGGGTGACTCAAAAAAAATAATGACTGAGTCAATTTATTTTATTGAAGAAATCAAGAATTGCAAAACTGAATACTTTAAAATCTTGTCGATTAGTTGTAACCTAGGCCCAATTTTTTTTGCAATATCTGTGATGTGCTATTAGTTTCCGTAACTTATAAAATTAGAAAAAAAAAACCTATTCTGCTCTAATAAAATCGAGAATATGCTCAAAATCACACTAATATTAGGTCTAATTGTGCCAACCATAGTTATAAAATTCATATTAAAATAAGTCACGGACATTTTTTGAAGTGTACTACATTTCAAAAAACAAAAAAAATGTTCAGTTTATAAACTTCATAATTTTGGTTTAAAGTGTATCAATCATGTTTGACGCTTTACTTTATCCGTTTCATTTGTTATCCTTTACTGCGGTCTCTCTTGGGTCGAGGTGTAACACCGGACCGAACGTTCTTCGACCGATAGGATAATTTATTACTTCCGACATCTTTTCGGTGACAAATTTAATCTTCGCATACTTCAGCGTAGTTAGTGAACTCGTTGTGACCACTGAAATATACAAAGAGTAAATTTTGAAATGGAACGAAAGTCGAAGAATACTTTCAAAGTCACGATCAAAATGTATTTGCTTATCTTCGGCAAAAAATGCATGACGTCATCGTAAAATTTGATATGATGAGTCTATACCTGTGATTTATCATTGCAGTAATATTTTTAAATTTACTTATACAGCCTGTCTCAAAAAAAGATTACTTCGATTTTCGATTTTTCGTTTTTTCGACCAACCATTTCATCGAATTAGATTTTTCAGTTTCAATTTTTCTATCAATTTTTCGATTTTATTACTTTCCAATTTTCTGATTTTTCAAATTTGCGGTATTTTGAATTTTCGAGTTTTTAGTTTTTTCGTTTTTCGATTTTTTAAGTTTTCGTTTTTTTGATTTTTCGATGTTTTGATTTTTTGATTTGCCATTCTTTCAATTTTCGACTTTTCGTCTTTCCATTTTTAGATTTCTGGATTTTTCTATTCGTCAGTTTTTAGATTTTGCAATTTTTTTGCATTTTTCGATTATATTTTACTTTCCGATTTTTTTGATTTTTGAATTCTCGATTTTACGTTTTTAATTCTTCTATTCTCGATTTTTCGATTTTCCATTAATCATTAAATTTTTCGATTTTTCGGTTGTTTTATTTCCCGACCATCGATTTTTCAACTTTCGATTATTCGATTTTCCATTTTCTGATTTTACGATTTTTCGATGTTCGTTTTTCCGCTTTTGTGGTTTTTCGATTTTTCTGTTTGTTTCAGTTTTTATAGTTCTGCAATTTGTTTTATTTTTCCATTTTTCGGTTATTTTACTTTCCGATAGTTTGATTTTTGAATTTTCAGTTTTTCCATTTTTCGATTTGGGATTTTTCAATTTTTCGGTTTTTTAATTTTTCGTATTTTGATTTTCGATTTTTCAGATTTGTGGATTTGTGTCCGTTTTTTCGATTTTTAGAATATTGATTAATCGAATTTTCGATTTTCGAGCATTTCGATTTTTCGATTATCATTTTTACGATTTTTCAAAATCTCGATATTCGAGTTTTCGATTTTCCATTTTTCAAATTTTCAATTTTTAATTTTGCTTTTTTCGATTGTTGCTTTTTAGAATTTTTTCTTCGTCAGCTTTTAGATTTCAATTTTGTTACTTTCCGATTTTCCACTTTTCGATTTTAAAATTTTTTTTCGATCGTCGTTTTTTCGATTTTCATTTTTCTGATTTTTTGATTTTTCAATTTTTAGGCCTTGCAATTTTTTTTACTTTTCGTTTTTTCGAGTATTTGTTTCATCGAATTTTCGATTTTTCGATTTTCGATTTTTCGGTTTTTCCATTTTCCGATTTTCGATTTTTCGATTTTCCATTTTTAGATATTTTTCGATTTTTCTGTTCGTCAGTTTTGAGACTTTGCAATTTTTACTTTTCCACTTTTCTACTATTTTAGTTTCGGATTATTCGATTTTTGAATTTTCGTTTTTTTTTTCATTTTTCGATTTCCGATTTTTTAATTTTTCGATTTTACGGTTTTTTAATTTGCCGATTCTCGATATTCCGATTTTCGATTTTTCGATTTTCCAATCTTCGATTTTTCAATTTCCAGTTTTCGATTTTCTACTTTTTGTTTCTTTTTGTAAAATTATTTTACTTTCCAATTTTTTGATTTTTGAATTGTCGACTTTTAGAGTTTTCAATATTATGAATTTTCGAATTTTCGGTTTTCCTATTTTTCGATTTTTGATTTTTCCATTTTTCGGTTTTTTGGTTTTTCAATTCTCGGTTTTTCAATCTTGCAAATTTTCGATTTTTCAGATTTGTAAATTTCCAGTTTTTCGATGGACCTACGTATTAGATTCATTGAATTTTCGATTTTCGGTTTTTCCATTTTTAAATTTTTGATTTTCCAGTTTTGTATTTTCAGATTTTCTGTTTTTCGCATATCTGATTTATCAAAATTTCGATTTTTCGATATTTGATTTTCGAATTTTCGATTGTTCAGTTTTCCATTTTTCAACTTTTAGACTTCAATTTTTTTACTTTTCGATTTTCCAAATTTTCGAGATTCAATTTTCAGATTTTTGATTTTTCGATTAAATCTTTGAATTTTTCGGTTTTGATTTTTAGAACTTTTGATTTTTAATTTTTCCATTCTTCGGTTTTTAGACTTCAATTTTCTTTCTTTTAAATTTTTCGATATTCTATTCTCCGCTTTTCAGAATTTTCGATTTTCAGTTTTCAGACTTTCGAACATTAGAATTTTGGATTTTTCAGTTTTATGATTTTTCGATTTTTAGAAAATTTGAGTAGTCGAATTTTCGATTTTTCAATTCATCGATTTTTCTATGTTCAATTGTTCAATTTAAATTTTGCGATTTTCAATTTGTCCATTGTCGATTTTTAGAATTTTCGGTTTTTCAGTTTTTCTATTCTCAACTGTTAGACTTCAATTTCGTTACTTCCCGATTTTTTGGTTTTCGATTTTCCAATTTTCAGAATTTCCAAGTTTCTTTATTCAGATTTTCGATTTTAGATTTTTCGAATTTTTGTTTTTCCAATTTTTTGCTTTTTAGATCTTCTGTTCGTTTCAGTTTTTAGGCTTTGCAATTTTTTTCTACTTTATATATTTTGATTATTTTAATTTCCGATTTTTTTTATTTTTGTTTTTGATTTTTTTAATTTTCAATACTACAAATTTTTGACTTTTCGATTTTTTGGTGTTCCCGTTTTTCAATTTTCGATTTTTCGATTTTTGAGGTTTGTGAATTTCCACTTTTCGATCGACCTAGGTATTTGATTAATTGAATTTTCGATTTTTTGATTAGCCATTTTTAGATTTTCGATTTTTACGATTTGTATTTTTCGATTTTCTGTTTTTTGCATTAGTGAATTTCAGTTTTTCGGATTTTTGATTTTGCGCATATTTGATTAATCAAATTTTCGAAAAAGTTACCATGCTTACAAAAACTTCAAAACATCTACAATATTTCAAAGTATTCAGTTTTGCTATTCTTGATTTCTTCAATAAAATAAATTGACTCAGTCATTAACTTTTTTGAGACACCCTGTATAACCAAATCTAAAAAATATTAATGCAGTGATAAATCACAAGTATAAAAACTCATCATATTTTATACATTTAAGATAGGATTTATTCTGCAAAATTTTGAGGTGACGTCATAAATTTTTTAGAGGGGATAAGCAAATATATTTTAATTAAATCATGTTTATCATGACTTTAAAACACCGGCAAGATTTCAAATTATTCGATTTTGCAAATTCAAAATTAAATTGCAAAATATTGTTTCATAATTTTGATTTTTTTTCCAAAATATAATAAAAACTCAACACGGAGTCATAAACTACATGTGTAGGACTATGTTACTGTATATAATTTAAAACCCATTTCCTATGCATAAATTTGAAGTGACGTCATCACATTATTGGTGGGGATGATTAGACAAATTTAATAATTTTGCGACATTTATGAAAAAAATATCAGTTAACAAAAATGGCACGTTTTTATTATTATGCCAGTTACATGTCACTCAACGACAATATCGTTTTTTTTTTTAAGAGTATTTTGTTTGAAAAAGTAATGAAATTTTTTATACGGAACAATTGGTCGAAAGATGTTATAAAGCAAAATAATTCATGTCCGGACCATCGTTACTCACGAACGAAAGTGACCATTATTTTATGGGAACAACTACCTGCTAAATCTTCTCCGACAAATTCGAGAGAACTGGTGTGAGCCATAAATATTTCTTACCAAATGTAAATTTCGTTGTAGTTTGAGCCTACCTACAAATTCTGCCCTTGAAGGATTTGGACCGCCTTCTTCGGTGAGGGCAGGCAAAAACGATCCGCCCATAGGCTCAAAACATTTGCGTGCGATTGTACAAAGGAGGTACGACAATACCGAAAAATAATTTTTTTATTGACAGATAAATGGTGGACGATGCCCCCTGACGAAAACGTGCGAAATCATCTTCTGAGAGAAAAACACGACGCACTTAGGTGTTCCAGAAAATGCTACCCGACTTGTAGTGGAACGTTCTATCACGTCTATAGTAATTCGTTTCCAGTTTTAAAGTACCTACGTTAAAATAAATTAAAAATAATTTAAATATTAACATTCATATTTCAGCAAAACTATCTTGAAAAATCAGTTGAGCGTTGCATATATTTACTATGGAAGCCGTTTTTCTAATTTTTATCGGACCGATGTGCTGTATTATTGGTTTGAAATATTAAGTATGCGAAAATCGACAGTTTTCACGTTTTAACCATTTTTTTTTTTTAGGTAACTTTGGTGGCCTTTTCGGACTTCTGTTGGGTTTGAGTGTCATCTCAATAATGGAAACGGTTATCTATATTACGCAGAAAATTATAAAACATTACCGAACGATGGTGTGGTCATAAATAAAGTAATTTTTTGGTGCTTTATTAAAACGTTTTTATTTCTTCAGTTATGAGTTACGCAGTTTTTCTAGTGCCGTCTTCAAATAGTGATCAAATAACTGTATGACCGAAATAATGCTCCATCCGACAAAAATTCCAAAAATCCCCCCGAAATTGCCTACGACAAAAAGTTGACACAAATTTTCAAACAGTGACAACTTACTCAGCATTTCGAACCAGTAGTAGACGACGTCCTGGCGATACATTTTCGAAAATCTATTTAAATAATAAACGTAGATCCGCGTAATATTTTGTTCCTTTTCTTTTTGACTAGAACACACAATTTATTTTTACCTACAACAAACTGATTAAACCGTACTTGAAAATAGGAAAAGAGTTAGCAAAGGCTTCGTAGACGGTTTCGGCACACGGTGGATAACATTTTTGGTTACAACGCAACGAATCTTGCTTTTCTTTCTGTAGATGAAGGGAAGTATCCCCTTCCGGAAAATGTGAGTGCCATTTATCTAAACAATTATTATTATCATCCTGTGGAATCATAAATTCACCACAAGTACCTGCGTATCTCGTGAGACAAGGAATGTCGGCTAAAGTACACACAGTGTTGTTGTTGCTAAGAGGAATCATAAAAGGAATACACTGGCACATGGCATCTATACTTTTCATTCGACATTCTGAAAAACAATCGCTTTGGGAATAAATACCATTGAAAGCGGTGTCGCGTTCATAATCGAATAAGCATTCCCTCTTTTCGATGCGATACTTGGCGACCTCATCAACCGAAACCATGGTAGTCGGCGTGATTTCAATAAAATTTTCCGAGTTCGGCTGGGTCAAAATTTCGGTCAAACCTCCACTTGGTTTGTCGGGGAAATCCGTCGGAATAAAAACGTGCAACTTCAAAAACCAAAAAATTACCACCACACTTAAATAGCCTCACCATAACCCCAGGTGCCGAAATCGTCGTGTAATAATAATCACGGGGATAGTTATTAACCGACACGTAGAGACCATTTTCCACTCCCGCGTCAGTGGTGAAAGGATACTTAGGAATTACAACTCTAAACAAACCACTGCTAAAACTACAACAAACCGAAAACCACACTTACGTAGCGTCGTTAGAGGCCTTGACGTAATTAAAAACGCAACAATAACCTTGATGCGTCCGCCTTAAGAAAAAAAAATCGGTGCAGTTGATTTCGAAGCCCCGCCAGAAGCAATTCCGCAGCAGCTCGTCGCACGGAGTGGCGATGGTTTTCGCCAGATCGGTCACACTAATCTGCAACGAATCTAAAATATTTTGGAACTCTAACAGTTCGGAGATTGACGATATCTCGAAATCGAAGTCGTACAACTGGCCCACGTATCGCATCAAAGACATGATTTCCTTGGGGTCGCGTTTGGTGAAGTTGGCGCTACAAACACGATGCAACTTAGGGTTGATTAATTTTTATACTAACATGTGGAGTGCCATCAGTCGGGCTCGCTTCTTGCTGATTTTGTTTGTGCTGCAAACGGCTACACCAGGGAACGGGATTTGGCTGACGGGGTAGGTGGAGCTGACCAGGGTGGTTACGGTGGGGTGGGTTGAGAATTTCTCCCACAGTGAGGCCACCATAGTGATTGCGTAGGTGAGGAAGCTCAAGTAAATGCACGACCAGAGGAGCCTGTTTTTTCAATTTAGAGGGTTGTTTTTGGGGTTGTTTGAATTTTTACCTTTGGAAAAGGGTTGTGGTTTGCATGTTAACAGAATGGTTGTTGAGGTCAAATGAGAAATCACTGTGTCTAGTAATTATTTATTTAAGTTATTTTGTTTTCGAGGGTTAGTCGTAGCCGGAAATGTTACAAGTCGCGGGCTAATGTGAAGTCGATAAATGTCATTTATTTTGCTTAAAAATAGACACTAATTATTACAATCTATACATATAAAATTGTTTGTCCTGACTGACTGATTCATCAACGCAGAGCCTAAACTACTGCAGCTAGAAACATGAAATTTGGACAATAGTTTGCTTTTGTGATGTAAACACCCACTAAGAAAGGAACTTGGGAAATTCCACCCCTAAAAGGGTGAAAAGGGGTGGTAAAGTTTGTACAGGAAGACTATTTCCTAACCATTTCTGTTGTAAATATTTACGTGAAACTTGGTATTAATGCTTTTCAACACAAATAACGAAACACGTATTTCACCATTTTCCGAAATTCAATCCCTAAGGGGGTAAAAAGTGGTGGATAAGTTTGTACGGGAAAACTACTTCTGTTGCACATTTTCACGTGTAACTTGGTATTAGTGCTCTTCAACACATATAATGACACACGTATTTCAGCATTTTCCGAGATTCAACCCCTAAGGGGGTAAAAAGTGGTAACTAATTGTGTATGGGAAAAATATTTCTATTGCAAATTTTTGCTTGGAACTTAATATTAATGCTTTTCAACACAAACAATGTAACGCGTATTTCAGCTGTTTTTGAGATTCTACCCCTAAGAAGATCAAATGAGGTGACAAAGTTTATATGAGAAAAAATATTTGTATGGCGATGTTTACTTGAAATGTTGTATTAATACCCTCCAACACATTTGTTACTTGAAATTTGGTAATCATGTAAAATTGTTTGTCTTGACTGTCTTTAAATTTTTTTTTTGATATTCATCCCCAACGGAATATAATTTGGGTGGAAATGTGAGAAACAGGAGAAGTTAAGTATTAATCCAAAAGTGGTTAAAAATCAAAGTTTAAAATAGTTAAATATGTTTTTCGCATATTAGAGGTAGTAAGATTATTGGAAAAATCAGTCCTAAGCGTTTGAAATTGAAGAAGTTGTATGGAAATAGGGAGGGCGCGACGTCATCGAGTAAGCGACTGCGAAGCGAACGCGGTCTGCGGTCGGACGCGTGAGGCCAAAACGGCGTTGACGGTTGTGTTTTATGTCACGAATTGTCAGAGTATTTCTCCCGTAAGTATTCTAATTTTGTGTTTCCGTGTATAAAATGAGGTAACTATACCAAAAAATATCCTTGAATTCTCCTCAAAGAAAAAATCTATTAAATATATATGCAAATGTGTTAATAAAGGATCCAACCAGGATTATTTGGTCTTGAAAATCACAATGATGAGGTCAAATTATATGAAAGTGGTCGATATATTAGCAGCTGGAGAATCTTGGCCTTTCCTATACATGAACAATTTCCAGTGGTTTTTCATCTCGCAGTGCACTTGGAAAATGGCCTGCTGTCTATTTTAATCCTAACGACTTTAATAATGTAACTGAAAAGGTAAATAATTCACAGAAAACTATTCCTCTATCATTTTTTGAGCTTTGCAAAGCGGATACTTTTGCAAAAATCTTTCTTTATGTTGAAGTACCTTAATACTATGTGTGGAAAAGTACCAAATTTGAGAGATGAAAAAGTGGAAACAATGTAGATGGTTCGTCGGGAGTCAAAAGAGATCAAGCTTTGAGCAGAGTGTACACCGTTCACCCTAATAACGCGGTATGTTTCTACCTTGATCCTCTTCTTCATGCGCTGAGAGGGCCAACATAATTCTCGGATTTAAAAACTGTTGGTAGTGTCGTTTATTTCACATATCAGTCATTATGCAAAGCTTTGGGTTTGTCAAGTTAAGTCAGAGTGTCAAGAGAGTGTTCAGATTATAAATGAAGTGTACAACAAGTGTCTGATTTCCATTAAAGACACGGTGCTGTCTTTAGGAAGACAATGTTGAGAGTACTATGGTTTGCCTGTAAGACGTGAAGAAGTCATACAAAACAGAGACTATCTCAGAGAGATTAGCTATGACATACTTTTATAGGCACAACGAAACTTTATTAAATACAGAATAATATCAAATTTACAACCAAGTTAGATAGGTCAGGTAAATGTTTGTTTTTACATAGCTGCCTACAGCTATTAGCGACAAAAATATCCAAATATTTTAAATCTTTACTCAAACATATGTTAACATGGGGTATAAAATTTAACATGGGAATCCTTATGGCCACTTATAAAAAAAAGATGTACTGTATTATACTCCTATGTTATAGAATAACTTTGTTTCACCCCCCCCCCCCTCCGTCGTATTTAAAAATTCACGGGACTCTAACTCAAACTTTCAGTTTTTATTTCATACACCTAAGGGTAATGGATGCTTACATTACGAAAGGAACCTTCTGTCCAAATTTCGTGTTTCTATAGCTCCAGTAGTTATGTTGATTTGTCAGGCGGAGGACAAACACTTTTATATATTGTTATTAATGAAGACTGCACAAACTTAAAAAGTAATAAAATTGAAATAAAAAAATAAATCAGGGGATGAAAAATAATGTGTCCTAATTGCGAAATCCACGCAAGCGGAGCTGCGGGTAACAGCTAGTTATATATAAAAAAACCTCTGATAAACCTCCAAAGTCATCTTCTTTTGACATTTCTAGTAACTCTATACAGTTTTTCTATCAAACTGTACACGGAATCTTGGCTTACTAGTGATATTCATTGTACTGAACTCTTTCCCACCAACTATACTGTTTTTCGTAAAGACCGGACTATGAAATCTTTTGAGTTTTTAGTGTTTTATTTTTTATGAATTTGAAAAAGTCGTAACTGCTGCAGTGTTTTTATTTTTTAATTAGGGAGACTCTTGGGTACACTATTTCAAACGATTCTGGGGGACTTTGGCGTTCTATTTTTGGAAAATTCTGACCTGAACTGTTTTTGAGTTAATTTTGGAACCCCGTGTTTTTTTTTTGGAAAATTTAAAACAATCTTGAGGTTCTAATTTGAAAGTGGTTAGGAGCCTCTAGTATCTTTCCTTATAATAATAATTTAATTAAAGTCCTTAGAAGATACGTCATTAGCCAAAATCAGTTTTATCTTAGCAGGTAGTAGCCCCGCCCACCCACCCTCTCTTTTTTACAGGGTATCTCATTTGCCAAAATCACTCTTATCTTATCAAGTACTAGGCCCGCCCACCCACCCTCTCTTTCTTTGGAAGGTATGTTATTTGCCAAAATCGATTTTATTTTAGCAGGTACTAGCCCCGCCCACCCACCCTCTTTTTTTTACAGGATATCTCATTCGCCAAAATCAGTTTTACCTTAGCAAGTACTAGCCCCGCCCACCCACCCTCTCTTTTTTACAGGGTATCTCATTTGCCAAAATCAGTCTTATTTTAGCAGGTACTAGCCCCGCCCACCCACCCTCTCTTTCCTTGGAAAGTATGTTATTTGCCAAATTCGGTTTTATTTTAGCAGGTACTAGCCCCGCCCACCCACCCTCTCTTTTTTTACAGGATATATCATTTGCCAAAATCAGTTTTATCTTGGCTGGCACTAGGCCTCTAAGAAAATAAAGGGTGGGTGGGCAGGGTCAATACTTGCCAAAATAAAACTAATTTTGGCAAATGAGATCCCTCTAAGAAAATAGAGGGCGGGTGGGCGGGGCTAGTACCTGCTAAGATAAGACTGATATTGGCAAATGGCAAACCCTCAAAGAAAATAAACCCTCTCTTTTCTTAGAGGGTATTTCATTCGCCAAAATCAATCTTATTTTAGCAGGTACTAGCCCCGCCCACCCGCCCCCTCTTTTTGCAGGGTATCTCATTTGCGATAATCAGTCTTATCTTAGCAGGTACTAGCCCTCTAAGAAAATAAAGGGCGGGTGGGTGGTGATAGTGCTTGTCCAGATGAGGCTGATATTGGCAAATAACATATCCTCTGAGAAAATAAAGGGTGGGTGGGCGGGGCCAATACTTTCCAAGATAAGACTGATTTTGCCAAATCATATATCCTCCACCCTCCATTCATCAGAAGATATGTCATTTGTCAAAATCGATCCTATTTTAGCAGGTACTAATCCCGCCTACTCGCCCTCTATTTTCTTAGAGGGATCTCACTAGCCAAAATCAATTTTATCTTGGCATGTACTAGCCCTCTAAGAAAATGAAAGGCGGGTGGACGGGCCTCGTGCTTGCCAAGGTAAGGCTGATATTGGCAAATAACATACCCTCTAAGAAAAAAAGGGCGGGTGGGTGGTGCTAGTACTAGCCAAAATAAGACTGATTTTGGTAAATGAGTTCCTTCTAAGAAAATAGAGGGCGGGTGGGCGGGGCTAGTGCCTGCTAAGATAAGACTGATATTGGCAGATGACAAACCCTAGAAGAAAATAACGGGTGGGTGGGCGGGGCCAATACTTGCCGAGATAAGACTGATTTTTCCAAATGATATACCCTCTACTCTTCATTTTCTTAGAGAGTAATTCATCAGTCTTATCTTACCAGGTACTAGCCCTCTAAGAAAATAAAGGGCGGGTGGGCGGGGCTAGTACTAGCCAAAATAAGACTGATTTTGGCAAATGAGATCCTTCTAAGAAAATAGAGGGCGGGTGGGCGGGGCTAGTGCCTGCTAAGATAAGACTGATATTGGCAGATGACAAACCCTAGAAGAAAATAACGGGTGGGTGGGCGGGGCCAATACTTGCCGAGATAAGACTGATTTTGCTAAACGATATACCCTCTACTCTTCATTTTCTTAGAGAGTAATTCATCAGTCTTATCTTACCAGGTACTAGCCCTCTAAGAAAATAAAGGGCGGGTGGGCGGGGCTAGTACTAGCCAAAATAAGACTGATTTTGGCAAATGAGATCTTTCTAAGAAAATAGAGGGCGGGTGGGCGGTGCTAGTGCCTGCTAAGATAAGACTGATATTGGCAGATGACAAACCCTAGAAGAAAATAACGGGTGGGTG